CCGCCGTACGAGCTCTCCGCGGCCCCGTACCCGGCGTCCCCGGCGCCGCCCGCAGCGCCCGCGCTAATACATACATGACATATATTTTAATCTTATCTTACTAATATTCATCATCCCCTACCTTATCCTACTCCCGTAGGATCATCACTCCCTTCTTTATCATTTCACCTTTCACGCAATACATCCATCTCTGTCTAGGACTACTTCTACTGGTGTTCCCCTTCACATTCATAACTAACATCATTCTTGTAACTTTATCTTACTAATATAATAAATGCGAAAGTTTATATGGATGGATGGCTGTTTGTTAGTGTTTGTAGTTTAAAGTGCTGAACGGATCACCATAATATTAGTCAAGGATTTGTATGTACATTTTGTTTGGCAATGGATGATTATACTTTGCAACTAGAGGCAGGGATAATACAGCGTGAGTCAAAAAAACATAAAATTAACTGAAACTATCCTGTAAATCGATATACAACGACAAAAAGTTTGACAAAAACTGAATATTCAAGCAGAAATACCGCAAACACATGCTTAGTATAACTAATTAAATACATACCTGTATCCATTATTATCGTAACCTTGTCCGCTAGTGGAATAGCCGTAGTTTGAACCATAATTATTGGAATATGCGGGAGCGGGCGCGGGCGCCGGCGTCGAGTAGTTGCCGCCGCTCTGGTACGAGCTGCAAACAGACCTCGCTCAAAAACCCGCTACACACATCTATCTTTATGGTAATCTTTAATATTATTCAGAATAACAAGTATCGGCATCTAAGTATCAGACGGCAATTCCTATCTTGTAAAGTTTCATCATTGTATTATCATAAATTATTTGCATATTACCCATAGATATCCTACTAACATTATAAATGCTATTTAAATGAATGTTACCTGAAACTGCTGAATATATCTAGATTAAATTTTGCACAGATGTAGAACAGTTTGCCTAGTTTCAGATTTACTTATGCATAAAATAATAGGCTACTTCAAATTTGTAATAACCTAATAGGTTTCTGTTATATTACAAATAATGTTTATATCAGTATGCTAAATCTAATTAAACAAGCTGTAGTAACATTTATAGGAAACATTCATGAAGCAATGGGTTTACATTAACGTAAAAACTTAAATTATGAACATGCAAAGCTTCTTTTACATGTATCAACAAAATGTTTAGCATTAATGTTGAAATAAAATAAACAAAAATCATAATAACCTTGAAGCATTGTATGATGGAGATGGGAACTGCTCTGCGGGAGGTTGTTCATATTGTTGATAGCCTGTGTGCCTATTGAATAAAACTTTTCTCAGTAAAGTATACAACTGTTTATGTATTCTAGAATTAATAATAATTATATCAGATTTAAAGATGACGTCATATATGTATCAGACGGCACATTCCTATCAAGATTGTGGATCATCATTGAAAAAGTATTAAAACAACATACACAGGATACTATAGTCTTTCAAATATATACAAAAGCGATTATAGCATTGATGTACAACAGTAGATATATAACCTATAAATATATATTTATATATAGTGTTTCATACAAGTTTGACATCTATTCTAAAGTTGATTTCCAAAATGTCATACAGTAGCACCAGCAATAACATGAATGACAACATTTAGGTAAATTAACCAAAACATTATTCCTCAGAAGGCTACTTTAGCCATACTTTTGTAGACCAGATAAGGTTAGATTAGTTAGTAGTTATCTTTCTTTAATATCATAACTTCCATAGTTTAGATGAATGAAAGTTTGAAGATATCTCCAGAAAGTTCCAACAGATCCTGATGAAAGTTGTCGCAAATGTAGAACATAGTCTTGGAAGAACAAATAGGCAACAAAAACAAAATGTTTTAAATTATACACGGATGGCCTCACGGGAAACAGCTAGTAGGTTATATATCCATGTCATAACAGCTTACATGAAATGAATATATGGAAAGCACTTACACAGGGGGTCCATAGCCATTTGACTGTTGGTTGTGTGCCGGCGGCGCTGCGTACGCGCCCGGTGGTTGCCTCGCCCCTCCACGGTGACCGTCAAACCTGACACCGAAAAAATCACATTAATTATACTGCTACCAATTATTAACACATACAACAAGTAATTAGTGGCATAAAATTGTTTATTCCATCTCATACTCATATATCACACAGAGCCTACCCCATCACTGGCTGATAGAGGCTCAGATAGCTTAAAAATGACGTCACTGTCAGATAGGGGAACAAAATCCGATATTTCCATCACATATTTAACATGTTGGAATGTCAGCAGACAATTTACAATTTGGTGGGACAGTATTTTAAACATATGTTTATCCTCTCTAACTGGCTGAAAAGTTCTAGTAACATACTTAAAATGTTGAGCTGCGGGACAACAAAATTCATAGGTCATTGTTCACAGCTATGTAGTATTAACTATATGAAATAGGTATAACTAGTTAATTATTCATGTTTAATTTTGCTATACAAACCTTCCTCTTTTAGGTGGCCCCCCTCCTCCATGTGGTGGTCCTCCACCACGTTTGAATGGTGGTCCCTGTGACTGGTTTGGTGGTATATTTGATTGATGCTGTGGAGGCACACCTCTAGGTGGTAAATTGGGAGGACCACTAGGAATTGGTGCTGGTGGTCCGTGTGGTCCGGGGTGCGGAGGAAGCCCGCCAACTGGCGGACCATTTAAAGGTGGTGCTCCTGGACCTCCTCTACCACCTCTACCTATTAAAAATAAATGTTTGAACAATTTAGACAGACATTGTTATTTTTCTCAAACTCTTAATGTAAATCCCTTTTGAATAATGTTATATATTAAAAACTATCCAAACACTAAAATGAATACATAAGTTGCATCCAATATTCAAGCCATCTTACCTCTCATAGGCATTCCTCTTCCCCCTCTATCATTTCTCGGTCCAAAATCACCGCGACCACGGCCACCTCGACCTCTCATACCACCTGGACCTCCTCTATTATTAAAACCACCTCCTAAAATTCAGATACGCCTTAATTTGTTATACATAATTAGAGCATTAAGATAAAACTTTACATTGGCTATCTAGACTGAGGATGTAATCAATCAACACCAAATACAATAAAATAGATCATAGACATCTTACTATGTGGAGGTCCAACTCTGGTTTCTATTGTAGGTACTGGATGTGGACCAGGGCCTTGCGGTCCAGGGGGAAAACGACCACCTCTTTCGCCCCGCATGTGTCCTCTAAATCCTCGCGGTGCACCACGTGGTCCAAGAGCTCCTCGAGGGGGGCCGCCGCGACCTCGCATACCAGGCATACCGCTAACATTAAAACAGATTATATTAATAGCAGATGTATTACAGTGAGTAATTTATAACCTATTCAAGTTGGATGAATAGATACTAAGAGATTAAACAAAATGTGATCATAAGCTAGAATTTGAAATAAAAAGATATCTTACCGTCCACGCATATCAAATCCACCTCGACCTCGAAGACCGGGTGGGCCACCGCGACCACCACCTCGGAATCCACCCCGTGGCCCGTCCATTTCTATAGAATTTAGTGTTATTTAGATTTCAGAGAAATATATATGTGTAATAACTGAAGTGATAATTTAACTACACAAATTTCTTCATGTGTTGAAAGTTAAGTTTGATATTACTTTAGACCAAAATGGCGCCTAAATGCCGTTCGTATGCGCAACTTTGCATCGCACTTCGTGCGCGATGCCGGAACCGGAATGACAAACATTGACGAAAACATGGCGTGGGTAGTGCTGTGCGCGAATATTTTCCAAAACCAAAACCAGAAACAAAGAATCAATTATGTTGCACAACACTATTTTGTCACGAAAGGTGTCTGTGGTCACATAAAAGTCAAACAAATCAATAAGCCCTTTTATATAAATAAAATCAAGTGATAAAATTGCTGCGGGTTTATATACATTAAAAATCTATATTCTAGAAAAAATACATAAGAAGAAAGAGTACTGTACTATACGAACCACAATGGACGACCAAGATAAAACTTTACAATATCTTATATCTGTTGAAAAACTAGCTCAAGAAATACTATCTGATAGACTAGAAATTGTTTTGTTGGATAAAAGAAGAAATGAAAATCGGGAAGCACTACGAAATTTAACAAAATCTTCCGAATCAAAATGTTGGCTTACTGTGGGGTCAGTAATTATTAAGCATGATATTGCAACAGCCAAGTCCCTTTTAGAAGCTGACCAAAAACAATTGGATATAGATATGAATCAAATAAGATCAGAGTTGAAGGTAAAAGTTAACAATCTAAGAGATCTGGAAATGCAACCACCTGTTCCCGGTTTAATGTTAGTGCCCTTGTCAAATACAGAGAATGAAGGCTTAACCAATGCAGGTCTCTTTAATTAAATAAACCACTTTTAACCCTCAAAAATGTACTATTCAAGTACCTTGTCACATAATGAAGGAATTTAAGAAACAAATGTAAATATCAAAATTGTTGAAAGCTTACTTTATGGTTATGTTAAGTTTCCTTATGTTATAATCCGTTTTGCATTGTCATTGTTAAATAAATTTTAAAAATAATGATTACCATTTTATTATTATATTATATAATTACTTAGTTTTTGTTTGTATTTATATTGTTTAGTTTTAATTAATTAGTATTGTAAATGCAAAATTTTAAATGGATGGATGTTAGTTTGTAGCTTTAACTCCTGAATGGGTTTCAATCAAATTTGGCACAGGCAGAAGGTAGTCTGGAAGAACACATAGGTTACTCACTTTTTCTTCTTTAATTCCACACAGACCAAGTCGCGGGCGAAAGCTAGTCATTTATAGCAGTAAAACAACATATTGTTTTAAGATTACCTTATTTATCATTTTAATTTTATTGGATTAATAATTAATGACTACTTGTAAATAGAAATAAAAGAATTCCTTTTAATTATTTCTTTTATTGGGCTAAGGTATTTTCAAATAAAAAGTCATCAAATATATAATTTTCAATATGCACAGTTACATCTTTATACATGTAAATAATATAGTACATAACAAATAAATAATAAATAGTACCAAATTTTAGGATTCATCCATTCATAAAAATTATTGCAGTATTGGTGTAAGAATTATAATACACAGTGACTTGACTAAGTGCCGATTTGTGAAGAAAAACATTCCCATAGCAAGAAGAACAATTTACAGCTTCTAAATTGTAATCTACTCATCGGAAAGTAAATAATTACTGTTAGGCATGGCCTTAATCTTTGTTAAAATTTCTTATAAAACATAATTAAAACCAATTACTTAAATCATCACCCAACAAACTTATCAGTAAACAATATGGCATATGTATCGATAGATTGATTTGAATTACATTTTTCCATTAGAAATAAACAACTGCAACATAAAAACTAAGCAGTATTAACTTACGAATAATTGTCAATATCAAAACATTTATCCTATAGGTTATTGCTTAATATATATTCAGTAGCTTGTGTATTGAAATTACATTATTCAGTACAAAATGCCACATAAGTTGTCCTCAAATGTCAATTGTAATTGTGGATTGTCTTTTGAGCACATATAAATCTGTCATTATCACAAGTCTTTGAATGAGAATGGCCAAAGCTAGTGTGCCGACTGGTTGTGGAGCTCAGTCCGGGCTGTGGTACATCAGCCTTTACCAGTTGGCCATTCCCGGCTTGTTCAGGGTCATGAAATATATCTGACAGGAAGAACCACCTTTGGCAGACGAAAAGAAGACTTTATCATTGCGTTCACAAAGGAATTTGAGTCGTTGTGCTTTTTTGTGCATAAACACGCCGTCCAGATGACCGCTCTCGACGGAGCGGATCTCTATAGCTTTATTGCCCCAACCCATTATTTGGCCTGTACCGATGTACGCCACTGAAGTTGGCATTTCACCCCACTGAAATGAATACTATATTAATAAAATTAGAAACAAGTAAAACATCAACATTGTCAAGGAATATATCACATATAGTTACACTGTTTTGGCTCTTACCTGCAAAACTATATTTTTGCTAATTCGTCCATTAGTGTTGACATACACTCCTTCATTATCATAGCAAAGTAGTAATTGCACACCATTGGAATTCGGAAGTGGTACAATGCAATGCGGAATTATTGCTCCCTGTGTCTGAAAATATACCAGTAAATCAAATTCATGAAAACCAAATTAAATAACACCACCTGATATATAATTTGTGCATTACTAACATGCTTAGGGATATAAATATCATAAACACTGGCAGTGTCGAGATCAACGGCGTGGAAGCCATCCGCCGAGCCGTAGATCACTTTCAGTCTTGTGCCTTCCTCAATTGTCAGATCAACTAGCAACGGTCTAAAACAAATAAACAACATTAATAAGATATTAATCCAAGATACATTTGATTCGTTTACGAAATAATTTGTACAATACCTGTGTTGCAAGTCACCAAAACTTTTAAATGCCATAAACTTGTGATAGGGTTTCGGCGCCCATGCGTAAATCTCAATGGAATCTTTGAGAGCGATCACCAAGAACTTGATACGCTCATATTTCACGATCCTGAAATGTACCGCACCTTGCAGTTCTCCGACATTGATCCACCCATTTCTCCTCTCAACTTGCTGCAAGGCAAATAAAACATTAATAAAAAATACAGAATAATTAAATAAATAACTAGTATAGAAAGTTTCTTACATCGCTGAGACCGTCCGTACGCAAAATCTTAGACTTAAGCCAACTAAGATAGTACACTCGTACTCTATTTTTTTTTCCGGATACAGTCACGAGAATGTTTTGTCCCTCTAACACTTCCATCTGCTGGAAGCGGCGTCGTGAGATCAATTGATATACTTTCCCTTGACCGGAACGATCAAGAAGCATTAGTCCATTTTCTGTTCCAATAAGCAAATTCACTCCTAAAAGCAAATTTAAGAATATAAAAGGCAGCTATTTTAGAAATCGCACGCATTGTGGGGTTCCTGTCTCTGCGGCCCTGGACACTGGTTGATGCAGTAATCGGACTTCTTAGTCGATGGTGCTCTATTTTTTGTATATGTTTTATTTTATTTTTATACAAATCATATAAAACATGTTACATACAAAATAAAGAATAAAGATATATGAGCCATTACCAAACAGTTGATAAATTCCTAAATAATAATTCCACAAGATAGTAGCAAGACTGGTTATATAACAGAATAGTAGTATGAATTACCCCAGAGTGCTGCGCAGAGTATTTCCGAGTTGAAGCGCTTCTTGTACTTGCGTATCTCGGGCGTGTCGGAGGAGAGGTCGTGCCCGGTGGGCGTGACGTTGACGTTGACGTGGCTCTCGCGGCGCGAGGCGTTGCCCGAACCGCCGGTGCCGCTGCCCGTCGAGCCCGCGCCGAACCCGAACGTCAGGAACGAACGCTGCTTCTGTTGCAACGGAAGGAATTGCTGCTGCGACCCCACCGACGAGTTAGAGGGGGAATGCTGCAGAGGATGGGGGTGCGGGTGCGGGGAGGCCCCCGCTACGAAGGACTTGGAAGGTGTGGATTGCACCGAGGAGGGGAGAGGATGATGGTGATGGTGGGGGGCGGGCGTGCCGCCGGCAATCGCCTGCCTGTACTGTAACAGAAAACAATCTAGTAAATTATATTGCATGTTGCGTAAAAATCTACATTGTATAAATAAAATATAATAATTGATTTACAAATATTGAATTCAAGTCCTTTACATGGTGATGTGTTAGTCAATTCCATCTCCCAGTTAGTTGTCATCTCAACTATGATCGGAAAGTTATTAATGGCTTTTTATTATCTACAATTGAACGATGGCATTTTTGAACAGTGAATTTTAGTAGGCAATGACACATAACCAATCATCCTAACATAACTTATGTCCTATACCTACATAGTTAAAGAGTACTTTGCTTTTAATAATGTCGTTTTTACGTATAGCAATAACAAATTAGTTTAAAACCTATCGTTCATTTCAGAAATAATAAATATTTTGCTAGATACTAATATCAGACAAACTAATATCAACAGAGTAGAATTTATTAATTTTTACATAAATTTAAGGAAATATTAAGGAATACAATCTGGTATCAAACATACAATCAACTGGTATCAAAATACACAATTATTATAATACTGCCAAAACGTAACTAACAAAGATTAAACAAAATACAGATATAAAATTAAACATCAAAATTTTTAAAAACCAACGACTTTAAAATTTTCGAATCAATTCTTGTACTAAGAACTACTTTCTAATATCAGTTAAAATTATTCATCGATCTTCAACAAAATGCCATTTACATAATTTCGTATTAGCACTGAAAGCACATGATTTACATGAAAGGTAAATATGTTGTGACACAATAACATTACAGATGGTATATAAGCATATTTTCTATGTAATGCACAAGAAAGGTATAGAGTATGCTATCGTAACAAACAGCCTATTATAACGTATATATAAGCGTTTTCTTGTTGCATCAATTCGTTTCGTACTTACGCAGTGGTAACAGCTGTCTGCAAACAGGTCGCGGGGGCTCCAGGGAGTTTGCATGATCGACAACCATTATCACATTAATACTATATACTAATAGCTCCACATGAATATCGTGATCTAAATAGGGGAACCAACAAACCTCTATACTAAGATTATTTATATTTTTAAAATTACAAAATAAACTGGTTTTATATTTCTTTTAAACCAGATTGCAACAAACAAATATAAAATATCAACCAATAATAAATGTATCATGTATGTTAAGATAAATTAGTTTATTTAAGACTGATATAAAAATGGTGTTGGTAGCCCCATTATTATGTTAAAGAATGAAATAACATTGTAAGTTACAAATGAAATCTAGCTCGACTTTGTTCGTTTATTAAGCTATATGGTGAATATAATACTTTGAAATACTTATAAATATATTTAAAATAAATACATCTTTATTTGAACACATGGTGTAATTTCAAATGTCTAGCGTAGCTATAGGCAGCGTAAAACTTTGAACTCATGTTGTATAGCGTTATATCAATGATGGATTGTTAAAGCAACTCGGACGTACCTCTTCACTGGTGGATTTGTCATGACGCGGCGGTGTGGTAGGCTGTCCGGCTTGACTGAGCAAATCCGGGAGCACAGAGCTAGTTCGGGAACCACTACCCTCGTTCCCACCACTCGAACGGCCCTGCAATATCATACTTGCTAGAGGATATCAACTGATATCTTTACCATAATTTAGCAAAGTGGTATTACGCAAAGTTTGAATTATGATTTCATACTTCTAGATAAGTGTAAAATTGAGCGAATACGAATTTTTTATTACAATGTGCGAAAAGCGAATATTTTACCAAATTCCCACGTTTGTTTTTTCGTTGTAATAATATCAGATACATACTTTGTTTACACACTTTGTTTATTGCTAGTGAGATAAAATAGTACATGAGTATTTTATAATATAAATGTGACATGAATTTAGATGGATATGCTGAATGATACTTTACAAACCCGAAAATATGATAACAATAATTTAATTGTAAATAAGAGGAAATATTGACGACGGTCACCACC